GTAATCCTGAATTATTAGAATAAAGACATCAGTCTTTAACTTGCAGTTGTTTGTAATTAATATACGAATGGTTTATCACTCAGGCCAGATCCACCCTCTTTTGGTAATAGTATGGATAAACAGAGGTAAACAGTTCTTTGATTGATAATGAATAGCTCTGCTGATAACCTAGCCTTGGCCACTAAATTGGTGGGAACACTTGGATTTTAACAGCCGATCCAGGAACCATCCAGAGGTGAAAGGTACAAACCCTGGTAAGTAAGCAAATTAGAGCTACAATTATTCAATTAAGAACACTAAATTGATTTCACCTCCAATTTTGAATAAGATAAATAATTAACTACAACTCCAGTTTTAGTGGATCATTTATTCATTATCTAGAGGATTTCATTTTGCACAACACAGTGTTTATTCAAACCCAGTGAATATATCCTCTCATATCAGCAAACAGCTCTAATCTTTCAATTCCTATTTCTTTCTGAAGAATACTGGAGCTTATTGTACTTTTTTTTTTTAAACTTTAACCATAAAAAAAAAAAGTGTTTCTCATTTGTTTGAAGGTAGCTGATTTTCCAACTGGCATTAAAACTTATTGGAAACTTTAATAGAAATGCAAATTAAAACTATTGTTTTAATATCTACATCTATAATTATTTGTTCTTTCTTTGTTGAATGCAATAGTGATTCCATACTGTGATACTCATTTTAACAAAACAAAGCAAGTGTTATTAAAAATAAACAAGAACCTTGGAATAAATAAACAGAATCAAACTATCTTTAGCTAAAAATATTGCTATAAAAGGGATTTCTTGCAGATACAGGTTACTGTATAAAAAAATCTGATTCTTAGTAGCTTTTTACAGCAAAACCAACAGAAAAAAACTCATATATTGTGTGATGTTAATCTTCAGTGGGTTTCAAAGTATGTACAGGTTGAGTAAGTGTATATAAACAGGCTGTTATCTCACAGGAGCTTATAGAAAGTTTGTGAAGAATTCAGACTATCTTCTCAATGACAGACCGATGCACACCGCCTCCACATGCTGATAAAGCCACAGCTGCAGAGACTGTCACATCTGATTTTCAAACTCGGCTTGGGCTTCAAGATATAACATTTAAGACTGGGTTTAGCATGCAGTTCTGTGCTGCTAGGTGATAAAAGTGATTTCTATTTTTATTTTTATTTTTTTTACCATTATTGCTGTTGTCGTCCACCAGGATAATCTCTTTCAGAAGGTGGGAGGGTGTCCTGTTGATGGCAGAGTGGATGGATCGCAGGATGACTGACAATGCCTCATTGACGAATATGAACACAATGCTCACTTGGGGGAGGTTCAGAGCATAAGTGATATTTCTGCACCTGTGGAGTACAAAGAAGAGGTCAGGAAAGCTTCAAATACTTGACAGAATACAAATTTTTGTTTTGAAATACGTTTATATTTTTAGGTTTCATATCAGTCCAGCTTTTTACACTACAATAATAACGCTGATGCAGCTTTTAATTGTAGATTAGTCTGTAAAGTCTGGAAATAATTAAATATTAATGATAATCAGGAGCAACGACAGCTCTGCTCATATCTTCCTTTTTAACAACAGTTGTCTGCCAATATAATCCTGGTGTTATTCTTGCTATCTGACGGTTTCCATCTGTCCATCAATAACCAAGAGAGTATCTGTCCTTTTAATTGTTAAGAGTGAGTGGTGATATAATTGGGATATCCAATTTATTCCTATCCAGCCTGCTACAGTAAATGTCACACAGTGGTTGATGATCTCCATTCTCTGCTCCCTGCTGAATTTACAAAAAGTGAAATAAAGACAAACTATGTGTGATTAACATTTTGCATTGCAACAGTTTTGAATGTGCACAGAGCTAGTATTACTGGGGATAAATGGTCAGGGGGAAGTATGGTGCAATGAAGAAAAGACCCTGAAGGTCCTTCAACTACGTAGACTTATATGAGGATGCAATCTAACCTGCAGCTGTATCAGTTGTGGTTTAAACTGGGTCACAGCCACCATGTGATATTGAAAAGTTCTAATTTTGTGTGAGCCTGGTACTCTAAGCCTAGGATTTAATCAAAAGTCAAATTTCAACTCTAAAAGCATTCTTTAGGGATAAGGGATTTCAGATAAGCCATTTCATAAAAATCTTGAATTCCACTATGAGAGCAAGGATCTACACAAAAAACAGAGACTTTAATCCTGTCATGGAGCTCAAAGCTTTTTTTGTTTTATAGTTTTTTTCACATTATAAAAAAGTCATTTTCTATCATACCTTTTTTTTTTTTACCTATAACAATGGCTTAATATGCAAAGGAGATAAAGATCAGTTAGAGCAAATGAACAAAGGTATCATAATGTCACAGCTAAAGAATAGGAGTACAAATATTCATCAAAGTAGGATTGTTGATATTAACAACAAATAAATGCATCTACTGTATTACTGCCACAGGTAAATCGCACAAGATGTTGCTTTTAGACTTTACACTATTTTCCAAATTAATATTTTCCGAACATTTCCTATAAATAAATTAAAACAAAATTAAAAAAAGATGTATTTTTATTTATTTATTGATTATTTATAAAAATGATAATGAAAATTTGTGGTATGCCAGTCCTCATAAATGTGCCAGGAAAACTAGTCGTTACATTTTATACATCTAACAGATGCTTTAAAATCAGAATGGAAGATAAAAAAATACAAAATAATAATAATAAAAAAAAAAAAACTAATTTTTTTGTAACATAACACAGTAAAGTATAAGATTTCTTCTGAGAAACCACAAAATAATCTTCTTGTAACTAGAGCAGAGGGAAACCCATGGCTTATTTCTATGACTGCCTTGTTTGGCTCAGCACAGACTTTTGTTATTGCAAGTTGTTTAATAAGCGGCGTGCTTGAAGTGGTATGCCAACTGTTACTTCTCTTTTTTTCTGCATTTTTACTTGTTATCTTGATCACTGCCCCTCTGGGGTTTTTGGGAGTACTGCAACTACATCTACGTCAAGTATAAACGTGTACATTGCTTCTATGGGCTCGCTTAAGGTGCACACAGACTGGCGCGACAACCAAACACGGAAGTATATCTCGGGCTTTATGTTCTAAGGTGGAGCATATGATGATGATGAAAGCGAGAGTTGCAGAGCACACAGTTGAACCACAAACAAAAGCACTGCAGGAGGATATATACATAGCTGCTGCTATAACAATGGATCTCTCAGAATCTACTTTTCTATATTTAATAAAGAAACAACAAAAGCGTGAACACGTAAGTTATTGTAGTTTCTCATAATATCTGCTGCTATTTCATTTGTTACCATGAAAAAAAACACTTTTGTACAGTAGGCTGGCACAAGTTGTCGCTGTGTCCAGTCAGCTCAAAAGATTCTGCTTCATGTCTGTTCTTTCCTTGAACAGATTTGATGAGTGCAATTCCAGATTACTAATGCATACAAATAACTTTGAGTGCTACAAATTTAACAGTATGGCTTGCCAGGTTAAGATTACCACTGACTAAAATGTGGATGCTGTTGTATCTGGATAAAGCCGGTGCTATTTTTGTTTTGTTTTTTATCTCCCCCGAGTGCCTTATATGTCTCTCTGGATGTTGCTGTACTTTTGTGGTTGACATGCCTCTTTGACATTAAGTGGCAGTTGGGGACAGCGCCGGTAGACTGGCAGACCGGGGTGGTGGTTCCCCTTCATAAGAATCTCAGCTGTAATAGAAATAATGTGGCCCAATAAACCCTGCCTATGCCGTCTGATGGATTGCATGAGTTTATTGGAGTTTACCCCACCACTCCAAGTGTGCTTTGCAGACCTTAAAAGACCTTAACCGTGTCCCAAACAGTTCTCTGGGAGCAGGGTTGCTATCCAGGTGTCAAAAGTCGTTGGCCCTTTACTTGGGGCAATGCGGTCTCTATACAAGTGGAGTAGGAGTCTTGTCCAAATTAACTCTGACCTGTTTTCAGTGTATGTTGGACTCAGGTGGGGCTGCAGTCCTGTTGATAACTTTTATGATCAGGATTTATAGACATCTACAAAACTTTTAAAGTTGCCATTGAAAGTTCTTTACTGGAGCACTGTTGTGATTCTCCTGTCTTCTTTGACTTGTCGCTGGTGCCTAATAAAGCAATCATTACCTCAGAGCTTCAAAGCAATGAATTCATATCCTCATTATTAGCTTTCTTCATATTTACTTTCATAGTGACATAAAATATAAAAAGAAAAGACTGATCTATTTTTCTTCCATATTTTATTAAACAAATTTTGAATAACAAAAAACCCTGGTAGTTTTTTTTTTCTTTTTTTGTCGGTTTTAAATATAAAAACATATAAACAAATGAATAACAGATGTGTATGTGTCCACTGTTGCCAATATTGCGATAATTATGGCTTTTGCCATAAGGTTCCGCTTGGTAGTTATATAAGAAACTTTGTCAAAAATTATTTAGTGAGTAAAATTGTATAGAATGGAGAGGAAGATGGAAAGCGAGGTGAGAGAAGAAGAGGGGATAAGAACTTAGGGGAGAGGGTAAGAGATAGAGACAGCAAAGAATGCATGAAAAGAGAGAAAATGAATCAAAACAGCAAAAATAGACAACACAGAAGATATAGGAGTCTGGTTCCACACCTGTAAGAGACAAGAGAGCATAACAACAGCAAAAAGAAGACAACAGAGCAAAGTTAACATCAACCAAAGCTTCCAGACAGCAGATATCACTTAGATATCCAAGAGTGTGGAAGGCAAAACCTGTAGTGATTACACAATATTATTCAGGTAGGTATATATATATATATATCTGTAGCTGCAGCTCTGTAACCACACACATATTGATTTGGGGCATGTGCGGCTTTTCAGCTTTGCGTTTCTTGTACCCAAGGCTACGAAGGATACAGTGACACTGTCCTTCCAACCGGCAAAAAAGGCTGCATTTGTCGGCTGCATAGGTAAGAGTCTTTGAATCCAAACAGGACACAATGCCATGCTATGACATAACCGGCTGCCCAATCTGGCCTTTGGAGGATGCACCAGCCGAATTACAGGTCAAGCACCCCCTGGTGGCTAACAGTTGCACACTGTTGCTTTAAATGGTATTGTCGTCAAAAAAATTTTTTTTTAATCTTTTAATTGTCACGATGCTATCCTTTATTCAGAACATGCCAAAAGTGGCATTTCACTTGATTCATGCATCTCTGGGTAATCCTCATGAGATCTGCTGTTTTAGGAGCAGTTCCACCCCGACCTGTGAAAATTAATGGAAAAAGAAAATCTAAGTAATCAGGCTCCCTCCAGGAAGCACCTACCTTAACCATGCTGTTCCAGCACCGTAAACAAATACCCATTTTCTCCAAGTCAGGTTTGGGTAATGGGAGGCAGAGCGCAATGGTTCTGGCCCTCTTTAAAGGAGAAGTTCGGTTTTTTACACTTTAAGCCCATTTTCTGTAGTGTCCAGGATGAAATCGAATGATCGACACCAAAAGTTTGACAATTGCTCCTGTCTCTGCTTTTTGGCTCATTTAGAATCCCCACCTGGCTGCTTTAGAATGGCTAGCATAGAGCATGTCTGATAATGTCCTTAAAACAACCTTAAACGTTCTTTTTTTAAAATATGCTACTCACCGGGTCGTCAGCGCTGTTCAATGACGTTCCAAAAAACGTTTCGTAAAGAAAAAACGTTCCTGTAGTGTTTTATTTAGCATTTTGTAAATCCCATTGAGTTCTGTAGGAATAGTCAATATTCCGCTGCCACCGGAAACGGAAATGGGGCCTGTTTACACAGTTGTAGTCTTTTCGCTTCACTCTCTGTACTCCGACGTCGAGGTGCTAACGTCTCTGTTAAACACTTTAAAAAACTCTGAAAATGGAATACGAAAGGTGGATTCTTGATTCTCGACGTCGGAGTACACAGAGTGAAGCGAAAAGACTACAACTGTGTAAACAGGCCCCATTTCCGTTTCCGGTGGCAGCGGAATATTGACTATTCCTACAGAACTCAATGGGATTTACAAAATGCTAAATAAAACACTACAGGAACGTTTTTTCTTCACGAAACTTTTTTTGGAACGTCATTGAACAGCGCTGACGACACGGTGAGTAGCATATTTTAAAAAAAGAACGTTTAAGGTTGTTTTAAGGACATTATCGGACATGCTCTATGCTAGCCATTCTAAAGCAGCCAGGGGTTGATTCTAAATGAGCCAAAAAGCAGAGACAGGACCAATTGTCAAACTTTTGGTGTCGATCATTCGATTTCATCCTGGACACTACAGAAAATGGGCTTAAAGTGTAAAAAACCGAACTTCTCCTTTATCAGCTTATTTAAACAAGGCAGCAACCTCATTTTTTAGCAAATAAGTCATTAATAAAAATAATTATTAATTTAAAATGTTTTTTTTAACCTTAACAAGTCTTGTATTTTGTTAAGTGATAAGAAATGTGTTGATGCAGTGATGTTATAAAACGGGAGACAAGGATGGCAGCTTTACTTTTAACTTTTATAATTGTTTATAGGAGATTTCAAAAGGCTTAAAACACATAATACATTAAAATCTTTAAGCTAAAACCCGAGAATATAACATTACAGCAATCTATAATAAACCCAAACTATTTGTTCCTTGTGATCTTCATAAAGGTATTTAACAGATCACCATTTTTTATGACGGTCTGTATAAAGAGTGTAGCTTTCTGCAGTCTTACCCATCAGGCCTGAGGTCAGGAATTGGCCTGCTTAAGGACAGATGATCACTGAGGTAGGCGTTATACCCATAGTACTGAAACATCTTCAGAGCCACCCTCCGGTTGTCTGGGCTCAGCTCCTGGCCCCAGTGAGCAAACAGGGATGAGTCAGAGAATGAGGAGTCCGGTTGACTGTCTTCTGCTCTGCCGGGTGTCTCTGGTAGGCAAAAAAGGCAGAAAAGACAAATGGTATGAATATTTGTTTGGGTCACAAGGTAAGGTTATTTGGACAAAACACCCTTTAAGCTGAATAATACCTCTTATAAAAACCTATTTTATCCCTTGAGCTTGATCGGGTGAAAGGTGGCATATTACTTAAAGCCAAAGGCTGGTTGTCCTTCAGCAGAAATACAGTCAACACTTAAGGGTTCGTGAGGATGGTAAGAATCATTATGACCTTGAGCAAATTATTTTGATATACTGTCAGTTCATAATGGATATTCAGAAGGCTTATTTGTTTACTACTTAGATTAATGAAGCTCAGTTCTCAAAATAATACGCTATAATCAAGAACATATGTATGTTTACATTTATCCCTTTTTTGTTTCTTCACACCAGATTTCTTGTTGGAAAATAATCTAACAATAGAATAAACCTAAACAGTGACTTTACTGGAAAGACATTCAATAGTTTCCTGATCCAAAACCCAGAGGATATCGTGACTTAAAAAACACTAATTTGAAAGATCCGTAGTGCTTCTAAGATGCTGATCTAAGCCTTGAGATGAATGTCTGCTCTTTTATGGAGCTTTACTCACAGCCAAAGGCTTAATTGAAAAAGACCAGGCAAAATAAACTGAACATCATACTGAGAGTAAAACTGCAATTGCCTATTTTCAAGAAAACCTCCATATGAAGTATCCTGAATTTCCTGTAGTTTTACAATTTATCACTGAAATTTTGATGATTCAGTTTGCTGTTATTTCAGAAAGTTGATTAATGAGTCAGGTATAGGAATTAAACAATGCCTGTACATATCATTCATAGCCTTTACGATTTTAAAGTCTGCCAAAAACTAAATGTACACTTATTATCTTTTAAACCTTTATTACCACCAATACGGCATACCTGAGAATATTAACAATAATTCTTAAACAATACTTTCCTGATTTACCTCTAAGTCAGGAAAAACAAAGAGCATTTTAATTAAAAGTCCAAATCAGCTGGAAATTAAATCTAAATAAAATTAGCTCCTGCATCATGTCTTATCCATTTCATTAAAGGACAGGGAGCATATTCAAGCAAAAATAACAATAAATGAAGGCACATTTCATTATAGATGCTCAGCATTTTGTATTGCGGCTGACAGATTCAGGTCATCAAGAATTGCTCAGGTTTCACAGCTGCCTTTTCCTTTTCAGTGAAATGCAACACAGAATAATAAAAAAAGGTTTCTGTACTCTGGTAAAGATGAATTAAAGGCTTAGTGAAGTAGATGATGATCAAAAGTAATTTAAAGAGCTGGGGTCCGTTTCAAAGAAACAGGTTTTCTGAAAACTAGAAGTTTTCTAAAATTGAAAAAAGAGAAAATCTCAGTTTTTCATTTCACAAAGAGAGTTTTCTCAACCTTTGTTTCAGTCACCATAGTAACATTGTCCCCAGAGCTAACCTGGGCGGGAGCAGATTGTCTTCAGTAAACTCAGTGTCCTTATGCCTTTTCATAGTTTTTGTGGTTAAAAAAAATAATTCACAAGATCTGTGAGGTATTAAAAACAAACACTGCATGTCCGTTTGACGATGATCTTATTAAAGAATGATCGGCTTTTTCTTCACAGAGAATTACACATTTATAGGGAGAAGATTCTACAACTCAGTTCACAGACTATTAAATGTATTTGTTTTTGGTTTGTTTAATATGAGCGACATGCAGATCATTTTATTTGTTTTTATTTATTGTTTTTCAAAGTACCTGGAAAAACTACTAAAATCATTTTCAGATTACACATAGATTATTTAATTTTGTGGGGGGAAAGTGCCTATTCCACCAGTGGGGTGAAATAGGCACTTCCTGTTGTCTGTTTTCATGGTGACTCGTCAAATCAGATAATGGCTAATATGAGTGTCTTTCATGGGCCCAAAAAATTCCTGGCGGTGCACCCTTTCCCATCTGATTCTAGCCTTGCTAGGCCCAGGTTCCCAAATAATACTTTTCCCATTGTAAAAAAAACTAAACAAAAAAACAAAACTGTCAATCACAGAAATGGTATATAAATAGAGAATGTATAAATACACATATACATAACAGGCATATGTGTGGTGCATAAGCATTAAGGCTGATCCAACATATTACAATTTGATGCGCAGAATAGGAAAGCCAGTAACTTCAAGTGCAAAGGGAATACCTTTAAAGGCCAACATGTTCAGATTTTGGAGAGCACAAATGGTTTGAAAGAGTAGTGAAGAAAGCCATGTTTGATAAAAGACCATCACTGAACACTTTGGCGGGAATGCATATTCAGCTTGATGCCGCTCAAATACACCAGCATTCCAACTACAGAGTGCTCTGGTGCGAGCCAACAAAATTGACAAAAAACTGAGCGAATGTCTGGTTGCCTTCCAATTTAAGCCTGTTTGGTTGTATCTAACAAAATTGTTTGACAGATTGAAAAACCTCCATGTTTGCCTAACTTAACAGGGGTTCACATTATTTCTGCTAAATGTCAGATCTGTTGAAAGTGAGCTTTGTACTCTAATAGGCCATAAAAAATTAATCTGGTAAGTTTATGTAAAGCTTTCACCTTTTAGATGCATCATTCTGGTTGTATGTACATAATCCTGTTTGTTAGTTCTCCATATTAAGCTAACATGCATGGAATTCTGTCAAAGCTGTGACTGATATCACTCTGTGTCGCTTGCTGCTATAACCATGTTTGAATAATTACCATTGCAAGGTGCAGCAGCGTTTTTTTTTAGAAACATGTTTTTTTTTTCATGAAACAAAACATCTGCATTGTCAAAAGAGCACAGTAACACCTTTAGTATCAAAAATCAAGAAGTAAATCACATCCAAGTTGAGAGAAGACAGTGAACATATATGCCTGAGGCAGAATAACTTCTCACATCCAACATAGCTGTTGAAGTTTCACAACTGTGAAACAGATGGAAAGACTCAGCTCTTGATAAGACACGATGAAGGTTCGCAGGTCTTTCAATCTGGGTAAGTCAGCCTGAAGCCCCATTTGCTTGACTGTTCGTGTGGTGATTAATTAGGTCTACAGAGACATTTCCCTCAGCAGTGAATCCCTTAAGCAGCAGTGAGGGCAGGTTGGTGTTGTTTCAACATGGTACGTTGGCCAAATTGATCTTTTCAGATTATGTACATAAAGACAGTATTAGCCAGAAATAATAGCACATCCACTGTTGAATTTCTATTAAAATACATCACTGTGAAGCACACTGTGCAGAAAATTACACGTTTCTCTATTAAGTACTTTCACCTTGAGTTTAGGAAGTTGCGTTCTCTGGAAAATCCCTTCATCTCTAGAGAATATATCCAGAGTAACACTGTAACTATAGATAAATACCAGACAGGAAAGGTATCTTCTAGATGTATTTATGTGTGTGCCTGTCTCTTAAAAAGTAGACAGGGAGAGGGTTATCTGAGCTTCCCAGCAGCACTTTTAGCATAGTGGTAATACAATAGGTGTGCTTTTGTTGTGTTTGCAGCCGAGAAACTATAGCTGTCTGCTTTCACAGCCCCAGAGAGGGAAATAAAATAGAAATATACAAGAGAAAGCCTCTGATTATCATCAACCTAACTGAAAGAAAACAACAGAAATCAGCTTGCATTTATATTATGAGTTGAATATGACCCCATAAAAATCCCAGACAATCCATTAATATTTTATCATATCATCTCAACTTTTCCCTGTGCAGAGTATATTTTAGGTTTAAGGTGATTATATTATAGTTTTGCAAAATGAACAGAAAAATGTAGCAGTATAGAACCCTGTAAAACTACTGTAGGGTTTAGGTTAGACTAAGGGGATGATTTTCATGAATTGTGGTATAATGTGGTGTTTTATGCAAGCCTCATCGTTCTTTTTGTTTTCAGAGACTACTGTAACAAAAACTATAGAATAACAAAGTTTTTATAAATTCTTAAATAATTAAAGTAAGCATATTTGAAGGGAATGTGATAGAGATCAGATCAGATATTGACTAATTAGCAGGATTGGATGTCATTGATTTGATATAGGATATTGGGGGTCCAATCTAGTGCACTTTACATGAAACTGCTATTTTTTTTATTTTTGCTGCTTATTTGTTAATAAATAATGTAACGTACATTTATATTTGTGTTTATTTGTCACCTTTTTAACAATGTTTATCTCAGAGCTAAAGCCTTCATTATGGCAAGATATAAGGTTCATTCATTCAGCCAATGCGCTCAGCCCAGTTATGGCTCTCAAATTTGATCAGAAAAAAATTGGATCGGTGCATCTCTAGGATATAATAAATACGAGAACATCCTCTGCTCTGAACCCTATTTCTTTAATTCCTCAGCCTTCTAGGGAAAAAATATTGCCCTACTGTGGCCTTTTTGCCTCAATAACGGATAAAATGCACTGATTTCACAAAATGCAAGTCCAAAAGTGAAAATCACTTAGCAAAATCAAAGAGACTACTGTAAAAGCTGCTACGTGTGTATAAACCAATACAGCAAGCAAGAAATGGAGATTTAGAGAATTTATATTGGGACTATTTGCTGTATAAAAAAAGAGGTATTTGGCCTTATAGCTATAGATTTACAATTTACATTACTAACATGTTTATTTTACTGTCTTTTGAAATGTTCCATGCAGTAAAACTTGTATTTCTCAGTGGTTCTTTAATCGGCTAATATTTCCGTAAGGCTTTGCTGCCATAATTACCAGTTCAAATGTCAGTTATGTCAGAGATATTATATCAAGTTTTTTTCTTTCTATAGTGTGTGGGTTTCCTCTGGGTGCTTCTGTTTCCTCCCACAAATATGCATATAATGGTAACTGGTATGCTCTGAGGTGAAAGCGGCTGTCCGTATATTGTTGTTCTGTTGGACCAACAAATAATTTCGCGTGTAACTCTTCCCACACAAACCTTAAGTACCAGGATAATCTCCAGTTTTTTGTCTCTATACAGGATAAAACGAGTGCTAAAAATAGAATGGCTGTACTTA